ATTTTTATTTACTGAGAATACAGACCAATCTACCACACAATAGAACCTATTCTTCAAGATAAGAATCAATTTTGTGCATGTTCAAGTTTCCTATTAATAGGTATGCCAAACAATTTTTGTGTGGAACAGACTGTGGCTGACCTTCAAAACTTAAATAGAGAGTCATCTCATGTATGACATATATGCATTTTTTAAATTAACTGCTTCTCAACACTAAAAATTTATCACAGAATGGCCAAGGTTGGAAGGGACCTCTGCAGATCACGCAGTCCAACCGCCCTGCTCAAGCAGGGTCACCTTAGCAGCGCTGGCAAATACTCTTCTACAAAGAACTCACGGGTTTCCTGTTTACAAAGCGGTTGCCATCTCACAACAGTCTCAGCCTGAGTAAAGACTGCCATTAGAAAAAGCAACTTGATTACAAATTAGCGCAATTGCCTTTAGTCCCAAGGACAATGAAACAATGTAATAATGAAAGTCTCCCCAGAGTAAGACTGTCTCACAGAAAAACCAGAAAAAGGTATCTTTAAAAATAACATGGAAAGACAGTTTATCCTGTACTGCAGCTACTTATAGCTACATATCACAATAAAGGAATGTTATATTCTCTTATCTGTACATTAAAATAGATACGTAATATGTAACAAATTTGAACTCAACTCTGGACATACTTCGGTATATCTGAATATATCTGCAAATCCGAAGACAAATTACAATACTGATGTAATATTCTTGTTCTTAACCGATATACGTGAAGACAGACATGGAGATTTTGTCTTAAAACATACTAATGAACCTTAGCTTTTTAATTCATCATCATGTTGAGGGAAAAAAGATGCTGCAGGGAACATTAGAAATTCATCTTAGTTAAAAAGACTGCCATGGAATCACTTCAGAGTTATACTTCGAGAAGATTCTATTTAAGACGGTTCCCAAATAATTGGTATGGCAACATGCATCGGACCGTGCTATTACAAGTCACTAGACTTGTGCAGTAAGATCAACTTTTATATAGAAGTGTTTTAATCCGATCTTTTAGGTGAAACATTTGTGACTGCATAAAATACAAAACCTGTACCACAGGATATGCCACAGATGCTCCCCTTCTCTTTCTCTCATTCACATAATCTTTGAAAGTTAAACATATCCAAGTAAATTAACAGTATTTCTGTCAATTGTCAATTAAATATTAAATCTGATCCTATGGTCCTACGTGGTCTTCTCTGCTCTTTCCGAGGATCCCAGAACAACAAAACAACCCGTAATATGTAAGAATTCACAAGATCGGCTTTTAAAGGATGTGTTAAAATGTTCCATTTTACTTTGTCTGTCTTCAGTTTAAATGCCAGTACAACTATTATCATTTTTTAAATATTACAAGGTAATAAATTATTTATTTAATGAATAAACACAAGGTCTTAGCTCTTGCAACTTAATCCTTGTAGTCAATGCTCATGCATAACTCTTACATTTCCAATGGAGTCACCTTCCGGTCTAAATGGTCCCTCCCCATAAAGCTAACTACAATCTACAGGATCTTGGACATACAGTGTATAATGCACTGAAGGCAGAGGAAAACGCAATTCCTTGGCCACATTGTCATCTAGAGCCTTCGGTAGCTCAGAAGAAAGCAAACAAAAATTTCCCCCCCCACAACCTCATCTCTGGCAAACGCGGCAAATCTCAGAAGAGAGTAAGTAGAGAGAGAGAGAAGAAATAAAGCCATCACTTAGAGCACAAAATGAAACACACAACAAAAGGAGAAACTTAGTGAGACTCGCATAAACTAGTACACTATAAGAAAGCATTAAATGACAAAAAGATACAGTAGTGAGATACATTAGAAACTACTGAAAAGTCATACTGAAAACACTAAATGTAGGCAGCAAAATTTAGTAATGGAATAAGATTTAAACCAGTATTTTTTAAAAAATATAAAATTTCTGCTTAGTAGATCTCAGATTGTTCTTTGCAGGAGGGATATGTTTTATTAAAAAGTGTTGTGGAGCATTTATAATTTCAACCTTCTCTCAGAACAATAAGATTCCACAATCAATTCACTTTTTATCGTAATTATTTTTCTTATTGTATCATCCAGTTTTCCCAGAAATATTAACATATATTGCTTGAACATGGCAACATTCAAAAAAATCCATGAACCTGAACAAAAATATCACAATAGATATTTACTTGCTTTTCTTATAGGAAGCCTTATTAACAGCTGTCAAAGGTTTTGGTGCATTCATGTTTTATCACACTTACAATAATTTCTTAAAGAGTGAAAATAAGCTGTATGAATACGTACGTAGTAGTTAGGTAATAAGACAAGAAATATTCACAGTCTTTACAGATGTGACAAATTGCTACTACAGCACAGAGAAATATTATGTTTTCCCTCTCTGGAAGATCCAAAGAACGATATCAGAAAAACCTGCCTCCTCAACCTAGCCAAGATGCTAATAGCTCTCTGAATAAATTTGCTTTTTAAAACAGTAGAAATATAAGTTTAAAAAAAAAAAGAAAGAAAGAAAGAAATCATCCACAGGTTTAATCACTAATTGATGGAGGATAGAAATAACCGTGTACCATTTGCAGACCTGATAAACAGAATATTAGCATACTTTCCTTAGCAAAAATATCACATGCAAAACTAATAGCCTTTACCTGCTAGCATGGGCACCCCGGAATTCTTTGCATCTGACTAATTAGGAAAAAAAATTCTGCTGAAGCCTTTATTTTACTTCAATGTCTTAGAAATAAACACCAGATGAGAGAAAACAGGAGTATAATCAGCACTTTGTTTAAAAATGATAAAACATGAATTGGGAGCATCCTCTATTGAACTCTGATATTATTTAAGTTTGAAAGAGAACGTACTGCATAGGATTTGACTAATTCTTGAACTACAAAAGTTACAGACAAAAAATAACTGCACACTTAAATACCAAAATACAGATTTGAAGTTCTTCAGAAGGATTCTATTATCAAGGGAACCGTTAGAATACTAAATTTACTTTATTGCAAATATAAACCAAAATTAAAAGACTTCCCGTAATTGTCCAGTTATATTGATATTATTTGTAAGAAGGAAAAAAAAAAAAAATCCAATTAAGTAACACTACCTTCAAAACAGCATGCTTCCCTTCTGAAAAGTAGGAATAGTTCTTCCTTGATCTAGAAGAAACTTCTAATTTTGCCTTCTTTTACCACAAAAATCAATGCAATATAAGACACGATAAAAATAGTAGCATTTCTTTCGGAATTCTGCATTCAGGTTTCTGCATTCAGGTAGCAAGTTAGTACCAAGCTACAAAGTGCTATCTGCAGGCAATCTGTACAAATATCCAATTTAAAAAGCTTTCCAACTAGCTGGAACATATAGGCTGCTGAACTGAACAACCAGTCAAATTTTCAGAGCAATTGCTTATATTAAAAGGCTAACACTAGGGTGTTTTCCTAAAGTTGTTTGAGAATATTTTACAGTTTAGCTTGTTTAAACATAGGACTAGAATAATTACCTTTATTTTTTCCCCAGCATTTACATTAACTTGTAGATTTCGATTAAAAGAAAAACAATACTGTTTTGCATATATTAAATTTGAAAGGAATTAAAACAGATGCTGCATCTAAAAATCTGATCTGTTCTTCATAATACTTTCCCTAATAAATACCAAATAAACAGTTACAGTACTATTATCTTTGCACTAATATTACCAGTAAAATCATCCTGTATGTAGATATAAAAACCTCAGAAGACAGACAATTTTTCCATAACTTAGAAAATAGCAGTCACGCAGTTAAATTTAGTCTTCTCTCTACCTACCAAGAAAAATCTCCATACACCTTAGACTTACTGCTGTAACTGCAGGTATTTGATTATTATAAAATGATTGTGTGAACCATGCTCTAATTCACAGTTTTCTCCAATTAAAATAATTTATTCACATAGGATATTGAACAAAATTTCATTATAGAAATAATACAACTCTAATATCCCCCAAAACACTCAAACTTTTGCTGGAAGGACAATCATCTTTGTCTTGCACCTCATGTTCATAATCACTGTGCTATGATTATTTACAAAAACTGCCAGCAATGACTTTAGCTCTTCATATGAAGAAAACTGAAGATCACGTGCACTTAGCCCTTCAGTATTCAGAACAAAACGTCAACCATCTACTAAACAGCAAAACATAGGAATTCAAAACAGCATTACAAAGACTGTGTGATAAAAGCTATGATCTGAGCTGTCATTTGAAGACAAATTTTCTCCATGTCCACTTTCTTCATTAAGAGTGCCCTTCCATTTCAAAAAACACTGTCGAGTATCACGGATGTAGGAATACGACAGTTCTACTTCTGCCATTCAGATGATAAATATAAAAACAAATCATAGCTCTTTTCCAATAATAATTATAATGTGTAAATATTTACATTAAATGAATATAAACACCAACGCAGACATGACACTTATGCTGGAGGAAGTTTTCAAGTTGCTGCATTTGACTAATTTACCTTCCTTAACATGATACCAGTAAGTCTTTCCCATGACAACGAAACTAGGTGCCTAATCTATTTTACTGGCTAACCATGTAAATTCTATGCACAACGGAGGGACAATTTCATAAACAATATATGCCGTATCTATTAGATACACTGCTAAATAGTTGAACTCTTTCTAATTAAGTGTTATAAATCCTTTGGTTTTGTTTCCAGCTAGTTTTCTAGAGAAAAAAAGGTAACAGATGTGTTTCAAAACCAATTTCTGGCTAAAGAACTCATGTTGTTAGAAAAGTATAAACCACATTGCTGTACCATACTGCATATTAAATAGAGTTTAATTTTGTTTGGGGGAGAAACAAGGAAGAAAAATTAAGACTGAAGAGTATGAAAATTATAAAGCACTTCAGTTTTTGTGAAATTACTTTAGATAAGTAATAATTTATATATTTTTGGTAAGAAACAAAAGCAGAATTCATGGTTACCATAGTTACACATACTCTTTGTTGTGTTTCAATGCCACATGATCTGATTCAAAGTAATACACATCAGGCTCTTCCTCCTCATCCTCTGCAGTGTGGACGTTGGCACTCTCTTTGGCAGATGGTATATATCCAGCAACAAGCCTAGCCTCAGAAAGTGGCTTTCTTAGTCCGTCACTCCCATGATCTCCAGTGTTACAATTCCTCTCTTTTTCATTCTGTTTAACTTCTTCTGAGTTTTTGGGAGATCCATTGATATTATTAATACCTACAGGTACATTCTTTTCAGTGGGACTAAGATTATTTTCCTCAACCTGTCCGTTTTCTCTACAAGGAGAGTTATTTTTAGTAGGACTACTTCTAGCAGGGACAGGCCTTCGTGGTGAAGTTCTCAATGTGTATCTGTGTTCTTGAAGTTCTGACATAGACGTCATTTGAGCTGAAACACAGTCCAGCACAGAAGAATGTGGTTCAGGCTCACCTGAGATTGATGTACTATCATGATGAGTATTCGGGTTGCGATTGTTGTTTTCAGCACACTGTTCCTTAGAGGCACTACTATCTCCTACGACATCTACCTCCTCCTCAGAATCCCTTAACAAAGATGACTGGATTTCAGAAAAGGACCCTGTAGCTGGCTCATTTGCCTGATTAGCATGCTCCTCAGGCAAGCAGTCATTTATTATTTTGTGGTCCTCTAACTTTACCTGTTCTTGAGAGTTTGTGCAAGGCACATAATGGTCTACGACACTGTCCTCCTTGCTGCTATTAAGCAACAACGAAGAACGGGCAAATGCATTTCCATTTTCTGCTACTGTTTTGTCCTTGGGCATACAGGAACCAGCACTGTTTTGCTTAGCGTTCCCATCAAGCTGACAGTCATCACAGTTTAGAGAATTTGAGTCTCTCTCACCAACTCCATTGACAGTCTGATAGCCGGCAATCTCCTCAACTATTGCAGAGTTATTAAATCCTTCCGCACAGACATTCACCTTTTTAACTTCCCTTTTGTCACAATCATCCAATACAAGACATCGACAAGCTCGCTTAGTCCCTGGAGAGACTGCATCATTGTCCGACACTAAGCTTTTACGCTCCAATGATTCCTTCTCTGTTTTAGTAGGCAAGTCCTCTTCTGAACTATTGGGTGCCTCTGAACGCAGACAACGCTTAAGTCTTTTCAAAACTGGTGATACAGGTTCTGCTTGTCTTTTTTCACAATTTTCCACAGTTTGTTTATCAGTATTATCTTTTTCTGAAGTAGACAGCCCTCTCTTCCTAGGGCTCACCCATGATTCCCGAGCACTCTGCTGTTTCAAGTCAGTAGTTCTTCCCCCGTTACTTCCCTTCTGAGCTTGCACAGACTCTGGTCTCTTCTTTGGTGACCTTGATCTTACTTGAGGATGGGGTGAAACTTCCTCTGGATGAGCAATACTACGGTTTCTTAATGTTCGACCACAAAAGTTTTCATCCAAACCATTTAAACCCACCGTTGATCTTGTAACACGAGTAGATCGAGAAGCAGCCATACTATGGCAAGTCCCTAAAGTATGTTCATCATGATCCACTCAATGGGAAACCTTCAAAAAAAAAAAACCAAAACAAAACAATGAGGAAAAACTCTGTGAGAAAAACACCTGCAGACACAGAAATTCTGAAGAATATATTGCCACAAATGTACCTAGCAGAAAACTGAGTATGTTTATGCAATATATTAATACCACTTCTTTCTTTGCCAATAAATTAGGACATTAAAAAAAATTTCCATCTAAGCGCCAAAGTAGCTGATTTGGCATTTGTCATTTTTCAGACTTGAAAACTTGTATGTGAATATCATTGATATTTATATATTACGTACGGCTGGAATGCTGCAGTTACTAAAAGACATTATCTTTATGTACTATATATAGAATATATTGTAGTGGTATTATTATTTGTCTAATCAGATGAGGGGTATCAAATCACATTCTTAATAGGCCACGGTTTCCATTTACAGGATTCCACATACTAAGGTGCAAACCATTAAAATTATATTTTAATTTTATCACTTGTTGCTTAACCCTTAAAAACAAATCATTCATGAATACTAAAATACAATTTAAAATTTAACAGATATTAAAAAAAATCATGCCAGTAAAAACAGTTACACTCATTAACAGTAAAAACAAACTGAAACAAAATGCCTGAAACAGAATCATAAAATCATTCAATTTGGAAGGGACTTTGGGAGGCCAGTTAATCTGATCTCCTCCTTAAATCAACACTGACACTTAATTCAGATGACGTTACCTAGGGCTTTGTCCTGTTGGGTCCTGAAAATCTCTAAGTACAGATATTCTAAAACTTCCCTTGGCAATTATCCTCACAGTGACAACATTTCTTCTTATATCCAGGTGGAGCCTTTCCCGTTTCCATTTACGACCACTGTCTCGTTTTTCCACCATTTACCTCAACAACAAGCCTGGCTCTGTCTTCTTATTAATCTCCTCTGAGGTACTAGAAGGCTGTTCCCCGAGCCTCCTTCCCATTTTTTAATTTTTCATATGGTGGCCGGATGAATCATCAACTACCTCAGATTTAAGTAAATTCAGATTCAAATCTAAGTTTAAAATATCCATTTTGAGAGTGTCTGTATTTTGAGATTTCACTGTGAAATGCAGGAGTACTCAATTTGCCCGATTTCAAAATAACATTTTTATAGAAATCAGTTCAATTCTTATCAGTTCTTCTATTCATTCCACCTTTAAAAATTCAATGTGTCAAAATGCACATCACCATGAAGCTGTCATAATATCCATGATAATGAACAGATTCACTTTTGTACATGATGCCATACCTTCCCTTTTCCATCTACCCAAATTCCAGATTTCAGCAGCCAGTTTCACCAGCATATGATGTAAAGATTAAAAATTTTAAGTATGGAATCAGACCTATTATATGCTATTTAGAAGGACAGACAATGATAAACAAAGGAAAATTGTCTCAATAGATTATTTTTCATCTTCATCAACAAGAGGAGAAAACCGAGAGCATAAGTTCTCAGACAGCTACTATTTAGGCATAAGTTGGTTCTAGAGCAGAACAATAAGTTGGTTCTAGAGCAGAACAGATAGGAGATTTTGCTGTTTTGAACAAAAAGGACAAGACCAATACAGATCTTAAGGAATATAATTCTATCTGACAATTAACAGTAATTATTACATTGCCTGTTTAATGTTTAGGTGTAATGCAGCCTAAAAGTATTGCTTGATATATAGTGGTCATAGCTATAGATACAGCTAAAGGTCAAGACTAAAATACTTTTGCATAACTGTAACAATACTAAAAATACATCTAATAACATTTAGTTTTGTTAATGAAAAGCCAGTAAACTGAAAATCACCGAATATAAATATTAGTCTCAGCCTAATTATTATTGCTAGTAATCCACGACTGGAAAAAAGCTGAGGTAAATTGAATTTATAATTTAAAGCTGTAAATTAGACATAAGTCAGTTATGGAATACCGAAATGAAAATCTATGGTATACAGTTAAATAATTGTTAATGCTTGCTAACAATATATTCAAAGTTTCAACAATCTAATGTCCAAGACATGACAATACATTTCAGCATTTACTACGTCACCATGAAGTCACCCTCCTGCATTCATCCCACACTGCCTACAAGGGTAAGTTTCCTGGCACACTTTCTACAGCAGCAAAAAATTACAAAGCTACATGAACTGAGTTCAAAAACACAAGATAAACTTTGCAATTCTTACCATGGGAGAAAAATCTGCAGGATATTAAATCAAAGTCCAGTAGGAAGCAGAATAGACTTAAAGGAGGCAACAACTACATTCCTAGCTCCTCAGAATAATGTCTTCTGCTACCGGTGAAGCAATGGAGCTGAAAAAACAGCTTAGAACCAGAAAATGACAGCAACAGACTTTTATTGACTACCTCCTTCCTTTCTCAAGCAGCTGCTGGTTCTAGCAGCACTTGAAAGACCAATAGCTATACAATTCACCTCTCTAGCTTTTAAACTGGGAAACAGACAAGCTGAAAGTAGGAGAAGAGGATTCAGATAAGATGGACAACACTTTCTTTTGCCTCTACTAAAAAGAAAAAAGGTTTTGTTATAAAGCCTCAAGCATAAACTTGAAAATAAAGAATTCCATAGTACTCAGCATCAGACTCCTCATGTAAAAATCCAAACCAGTCAAAACCATAAATGTGAACAAAGACAGGAGGTCTTCAAGTGGCTAATACATACTTAAAAACATGACTGTAGTAATTAATTGAAAATAAAGTTGATTTCTAATTTACAAAGATCTTTGCTCTTCTGCAGACACATACAGTCTACATCTCCATACACTCTGAAAAACCAAAAATAAAAACCACATCACAAATGCCAGTTAAAAACGGGTCTAATTTGGCTAGGACAGAACAGAACTCTGTAAACACGGCTCAACCATCCATAACAAGGTAAGTCTGAATTTCAGCAGTGCATCTCCCCCACAAACTCATTGTTGTCATCCTTTGGTTGCATGGCTTTTTCAGGAAAAAACAATTAAATCATAGCACTGTCTTGTGGTCATTTTTCAACTACAAGACAGGTTCTTTATACAGTGTATAATTAACATGGCAATTCTGAGCTTCACAAAGAGGGCCAGTTCTGCTACCAGGAAGTTCTGAATAGACCCTTAACAGGCCACACGTTTCTACGTGAGAAGGGATTCTTTCCTGGTTTTTTTTTTTTCTTCCAGGCTATGCCGGGGAGGCCCAGGCTTTGGAAGGCCTTCATCCAAGATGTGCTGCAGTAGTTAGAACAAAAGGCCTACACGTCAAAAGCATGACATTTGTAAGACTGAATTTATGCACTGTTCCTTGTAGATGGTTGAGAATCTTCCCTACGCTTAAACCAAGCAACTTACAGCTCTAAAACGCAGGATAAAGGAACAGAAAACACTCCCGCTTTCCTGATACAGAAGTATGGCTAGCCCTAGCCACTCTCCCAGTTGGGCTCCTAGGTTTTTTGAAGCATGTCTCCTTTATAAAAACTGTGAGAGCGATGAAGCACTATGTAACTGTGAAACAACAGAGCAGCTACAATGTGGAAGTTTCAAATGCTGCAAAGCTGAGCAGTGTGTGCAGGACTGTGACTGCTGCCTTACATCAGGGTCTAGGAAGGTGCGCTGCTTGTATTCCTGAAGATAAGGTAAAGAACTTCCGGTGTACTAACTTCCACTTTGTGCAGTTAACAGTAACAACCTAGGACAAAGCGCGCGATATCCAGCGAGCTCCATCTTAGGAGAAAAGAGTAAGACAAAGACAGCAAATTGGCAAAAACCATCAGTGGGGGAGTTGAAGAGAAAGAAAGAAAACATAACTATGTATTGTATATGATGGCTCCTCAAACCCATTTTCTGTATGGATAAACCTGCTGGTATATTCTCCCCATTCACACACAAGCACAATACCGTCCGGATAAAATTCTCATTTGGGGATGAAAACAAACATAACAAACAGGGTCATTTTTGCATTCCATTTTACCTAGGTTGTTCTATTTAAACCTATCACAAATAAGGAACAATAACTGACATCTCAAATGGACACCAATAAGTAAAATAAATCAAATTCCACTGTACGCTTCAGTGCGTAATTATTGCTGAATTCAACACACATGAAAAACTATGCAAGAAATCAAAATCTCTGTTCATTTGCTATGTTACTTTTTAAAGAGATAAATCTTACATAGCAATTCTGGAAGTTATTGTTTATTTAATAAATAAAACTCTTACCATTGCAAACGTAGAAGAAATATAAACTTCTGATGCACGATACAGCTGATTCCCATGGCGTCACTGTAATACTATCAATCACCATTGCTGATACCCATGACTCAATCCAAACTAGTTTATGCCATCACATTAGCAAGATTTTAGCAACTGTTGAGAAAAGACAAAGGCATCACTAAAACATTTAAATTATTTCATTAAAAAATAAGAAAAATGCAGCAGGCCATTTAAAGAACAACACCTTCTCTAAGAAGCAATTACCAGTTTTACAAGTGTCCTATATACAAAAGCAGTCTTAGGAACTAATTAAGAATGTAAAATTTTAATTCAGCTTTCAAACATAAAATAACTTTCTTGGATAGTTTTAAGTGATTCAGTTTAGCATACTAAAGATGTATGAGAAAATGAATTTACAATAAGAAGTCATATGTTAGGGTGTTCTAACCTCAGATAATATTTGAAGAGACACATGGAGAAAATAAGTAAAAGATACTGATTACTACAGCTAATGAGTTATGAAATATATTGTCAAATAGACTTTATAATTAGCCTTACAATGAAAACTAATTTTTTCTGCCCTTCAATTTTAATCAACTAAGCAGAATTCTAAACTCAAATTCACTCCAAATCCCTGAATTACCTCAACACAGTAAGAGTGAAAAGTTTTCCAGAGTTCACACCAAACCCATTCTTCACACCCAGGGTACAATATATACTATCTTGTCAGTGGAACTGAACCAATTTCATACCGAAAGACAGAAATAAATCTACTGACCTGAAACCCACACAATGCTTCCAGTTGTTTCCGGAGTTTGGGCATCAGTGCCAATGCCCAACAGCTATTATTTAAAAAAACATGCCAGGAATCTCATTTCATTTTAGTACACCTAGTACTACAGAGACATTGTAAGTCACTACAGAAAAGGAATTACTGAATCTTTCTCCATATTCCATTGGCTTCATAAAACTGAACTTATTTTCAGACACGACAATGCAAAAAATTCACGATGCAAAACTGAAGCTGGCAGGTTTCTCCACTTTTATTTACACAATTATATTTCTATTATAAATGTAAAAAGTTTTTGGAAATTGTCTCATTTACTTTGATCCTATTGATGATTTCATACAGGTTAGAGTACAAAAAAGGAATTTCTTAAATTGACAATTCAAAACATAAAAAATAAGAGCAGAATAGAGTAATTGTATCTGGTTACAGTGAAATTCAAAAATGAAAGTGTTTCTACAATAATGGTACACGAAATATCACAAATTCTTTTCTATGGATAAATAAGTCAAATTAGATTTCAATTATTTAGTGGAATTTCTTAATTTAACAAACAGCAGAGAAATGTTGTAATAAGCAGCAACAAAGGCTGGAAAAGCAAGAAGACAAGGAAAAACACTCATACAATGCAAGAGGTGAGTGACTGAAAGGGCCGAGCAAAAATGAACGGTTGCTACCTGGCCGCATCAGGGACAGAACCAGAACACCGAGAGGTCAGCTCCATAAAGAGCTCCTGTATCGAGTGACTTCGCAATGTCTTTTTCCCCCCCCCTCTTTCAAGTTTCTTCAGTTTTTAGTATTCTGGTACACCCGCAGTTACTTCAACCTATATTGCTGCCTACCCTATAAATCTATTTAAGTGATAGGAAGATGATGTGTGCAGATAGCAAAAAATATTTTGACAGAATTTGGCAAAAAAACCACAATATACTCCAACAAAAAACCCATAGCTCAGCAACTCTGGTAAAACTCAAAATATAACAAAAATCTGAAACAAAAATATAACAGTGAGTCGACCAGAAAAAGGCCTAATCTCAAAAACAGAAAACAATGAAACATGGAAGTAAAAATTTCTGTTACTGTTAAAAATTTCCAGGATTACCTAAACACAGAGAGCTCAGAAAACACAGAGAACTTGTTCATACGAACAAGAAGGAAACAGTTAATTGCAATATAATGTAACTCTCATATAATATGTATTGCAATATATTGCAGTGTAATATAACTCTCATCAGTGGTTAGAACTGTCTGCAGAATGGAATTTCCATCTCACAGGAACAGCTGTAATTTAATTTTTATCTTGAATGCAAGAGAGAACACTACATTTTGAGTACTTTTATGAAAAAGAAATTCCACTATTTTTGGTGGCAAAAACATTGCAATGCTATTTGTTTCGAACTGCCTAAAATTTTGCAAAAATATAGAGTGAATAAAACTACACTTTCATGGAAGAAAGCGTCACTAAAATGATTGTAATAGTAAAATTAAATAATTACATGTAATTTCTCAGGCAATTGGGTAGACTGCAACCACAAAACTGTCAAACATTGAGGCAGCAAAAATGATACGTTAGTAGTTTGCTTTTTTCCTTACATGCATTATACTTATGCATAGAAATAATTCTGACTGGAAGTCCATCCACTATCCAATCATTTTCTTAAATCATTTTACTATTTTTTAAAGTATACAAATCATCTACTCAGCAAAAGCCTTAAATTTTACTTCTAATGACAGTAGATAAAGGACGATTCAAAAGTCTTCAGTACTAGGAAGCAATTATTTCATTCAACTGTTATAATCCCTGCTACTTCAGTTCAGCAATAAAACTAATGACTGCAAACAAACACAAAAACCACTCCTTTCATAAAATTAGGTCAAAAATCAAAATCAAAGGTTTCAGAGATTTCTTACGAAGAGTGATTTTATGGGTAAAGTACATTTTCAGTTCAGTAACTGAATCTGTATGTTGTCCAAAGCTAATTCACAATGGTTTTGTTTTACGCTTAACTGTTCCGAGTTGAAGATAAACGTTCCAGGAAAGACCAAAGATCAGTACTGTTTTTTTAATTAAGCATGCAACAAAGAAAGACAGCTGAAGCTAATGAGAGAAGAATCAGGGTAAAAGAAACTGCCTTCTCCTGTAGATTCATTAGACAGGCTCAGGGCAAAATATCTATTTTTGTACTAAGACCTATTTACTCTTCTGTTGACACCTTTCAATTCACAGCAAACTGGGAGAAGTGAAATTTCTGGCTCACAAGTACGAACTGTTCTGGACTAAATAGTAAATTCAACAAAAAATTAAACTGTTTTTGTAGTAACTTTCTGAAACACCTGTATTCGTATATACTTGCTTTATGAACAGGATTATGCCCCCTTTGCAGGATATCTACATTTCCATTTGACTTCTGCCAGAAAATTGACGTGGACCAGACTGCAAGGAAATGAAGATGGAAAAAAACTAAATACCTTCTTTGTAATTCAAAACAAAAATGAAAATGAGATAGCTTCATAAAAACGACATGCATTCCTAAAAAGAAGAACTCATGTTTCACAATGAGGCGGGTCAAAAAGTTTTGCATTTGGGTCACAATGACTCTATTAAATAGTAAAGTTCCCTTAGCAACTCACAGATTTCATATTAGCCTTAATGTGCGTGTCTGCTGCTAACACTGTTTGAGTCCTATACTTAAGATTCACTCTGATTTTTTTATTGCTTTATCGGCTCATAAGTAATGAACATTTGCATAAGTTGTTTCAGGAACAGCAGAACTAATAAAGTCAGGATTTCTACAGACCTGTAACTTTATCTCCCCTAATTTCCTTCTCTTCCTTTCCCCCCAAATAACCCTATTTTACTCACTGCAGGAAAGAAACAACCCCTGCAGTGACTAGTCCATTTTGGGAAAAGTAAGAGGATTTTAAGAACAGCAGGAAGAACATAAGCAGCACCAGAAAGCAAGGTAAAAAAAAAAAAAAAAAAAGGTTTATCTAATCAGGATATTTTGTTGAGAAAATATATTCATAAAATAAGTATCAGTTTTGCAAAAAAAAAAAAAAAAAAAAAAGGAGGAGTTTAAATCAGGAGACAGTGGAATGACTGTACCTTAATTACTCCTTAAAAATCAGCAAGTGAAATTAGCATGGTTTTTATTAACCAAGTAGGCAATTAAAAATATTTTTCTTCTTCCAAAAGGTGGTTCGGAAAAACTGTATTGAAAGGAAAATAACATTTCTTTACATTCCATAAATAATTAGACGGACTTTTTCCCCCCCCCCTAAAGCAACCACATCTTTCCTGGCAGAGTAATTTAATGTTGTAGCCACCACTCTTTTTAGAAGGTATTTATAAGTGAGAATAAAGATGTGCAAAGGAATCTAAACATGCTTTTAGGTTTAAGCCTTCCTTCAGGGAATCAAATCAACATCTAAGAAAGGGAACACTGCAGTAAAAGCCCAGAGTCTAAACAGAAGGAATCAACTAAGATGCATCGTGGCTTGGAGTTTGCAAAGCCCGCTAAAGATGAAGTGAAAAATTACAGATGAATATAAAATACAATGTAGATAAAACCAAAGCTTTAAAATATGAAAGATTCTCTGAATTTGTCTTTCATAGGGAAGGACATGTAAAGAGTCAGAGAGCAAGTGGCGAGACTGAAACCCTACCTGGTGAATCCTATTCATAAATCAAATGGTCATGCATTGATCAGTAAGGCACTTCAGACTGGGACTGAAGTTTGATTGCTTACAGAACTTGTTGATACATTTTACATACAATTAAGAATTTGGTAAGATCATGGGATGCAGTTTCAGGATATGCATTTTAATATTTGATAACCCTTAAAGTGTTACATAACTTTATGTGGACTGTTCTGATACACACCACAGTTGTAAAATTGCACTAGAATTTTTATTTAACCTAACCAGAAGCCTGTTTAGCACAGCTAGAGAACGCTGTAGATGCGTTAAAATCCCTAGCAATAGAGATGACAAATTTACACGGAAATGGGTACCAACAGCATAATACAGTAGAATGAGGCAATTCTTTGTCAAATATACAAAATAACCTATTCTTAACTGGGTTAAGCCAGTACTGCTTATCTGGGAACCAGTACAAGCCAATTGTTTTAAGGAACCCCAAGATTTAGGAATTGTACACACAGTCAGAGAAAGTATGTTCAGCATGGCCCTATGTTAGAAAAGGGATAGTAAAAAAAGAAGGTCAATGTAAGAATGTACTGTGTGTATCAGCATACTGGACCTGAAACTAAAAAAGCAACAAACGCCTCTACTTTTGGAATGCTTCATAATACTGTACTTTCATGGTGGTGCTTCATATATCTAGTACTTAGGATGGATATGTGTTCTTACAATACTTAAGAAAAAGATCTCCTACCTGTTTGGTAGAGAAAAAGATGAGTTGCAACAGGAAAGAGCCTTCAACAGTTATTTGATGTCACATATTTTATGAACATGGAAAATAGTTAAAGCCTTCCCAAAAGTTCAACCAAGGAAAACGGAGTTGTTTATTCATCTGATCTAAAGTATAATTTTAATTGCCATCTTATATGAACAGCAATAATCTGTCCTCTTCCTATCCTTCCAAGTCTTACCATCTCTTTCCATGCCAAATGATACTGGTGTTCAGCTATTGCAATTGTGGATACCTAACAATAGCACTCTCTAGTCCCATACAGCAGTAACGTCCAAAGTTGCTCCAGAAACAAAATTTGTCATTGGTTTAGCTACCATTTACAGAAGCAAATGTGACACATACATAACTGCCCTCTCCCTTTTAATTTTCATTCTGCTCTAAAGCTGCAGGACCTTGCCTGCCTCTGCCTGAGAGTACGACCGGAGATTTTTCTATTTCAGTCATAAGATTCTTTGATCGTACTTAGTTCTGTCATTGTAACTTGGGAGTCCTCCACGTATGTTCCTTTTTAAAACATTGTATTATATCATTTAAAAGAATCTGTGTCAGGTTTTACACTATCTTTTTCAAAACTATAATATTTTGGAAGAAACATCACTTTTGCACACATCTCAGTGAAGAGATGCAGAGCATTTTCTGGGAAGGAAAACAAATCTAAACCAATTTGCATCAACGACAATAACATGGTATCATTTGAGATTACAAAACTACATAATTTAGGTAGTTTGACACAACCTCCACTCCACTGTTGTGTATCTCAAACTACTTC